AGTTAATGGGTTACTGGTATGAAGTCATGCAGGGTACATGTAAAGCCTTTAAACCCCTTAAAGATACATTAGAAAGCCAAGACTGACTCATGTGCCACATTTAGTCTGATCCCACACTACTCAGCTCAGGTTAAAGGTAAGGTTTTGAGGCCACTCATAGATGATCTATGTTGCTTTACTTTATAAATGCTCAGATTTGTCTTCTGGTAAAGAGGCTAAAACTCATGTCTTATGCTTTGCCCAGACTCTGGGAACAATCAGACCTAAAGTAGCAGATGTGTAGAGGTCAGCAAGTTATTCAGCAAGTTCCTCATTGTTTCTACGATTCAGGGGATTTTGTTTTTCTTCATAAATTGTAGAGAATTAAGATATTCTAATCTCCTCAGCTTGACTGGGCCCATGCCAAAGCACTTGTTAAGTGCCAGTACTGACAACTTTGTTACAGCAGTGGTAGGATAGCTGTCTGTGTTTGTGCTTCATCTAAAAATAATGAGACTGTGAGAACAAAGGGGGCGGCTTAGTGTGCTTGTGGCATGTAAGAATATATATCACATCCGTTTCATCTCTGCGTCTTCATATGTCTTCCAGAATTAACTGATAAACAGGTGACAAAACAGTAATATAAGCTATTGCAAATGTGAAGTGGCACCAGCTGAAATGAGGAACTGGTCACACTGTCTTCCCTCATTATCAACTTCACTCAGATGGAGGCATTAAATAGGTTTAAGCAGAAAGTCAGAGGCTGCAGAAACAAAACCAAAGGTCAGCTGAGACATGAGATCAACAAGAGGTGTGAGCAGTGAGGCTGATACAACATGAACTGACTTTCTGATCAGAAACGAAGTGTATGATCACCAGCAGACATCACTAACACTGTTTTCTAAGCCTATTGTTGTGGTTTCTGGCTTTACATTTTTCCTCTCCCACTTTGTCAGATTGATTTTACTCTTTTTTTTTTTCTCTCATGACTCCAAGGCATCGAGCACAAGCCGACTGTGATGCGGCCTCAGTAAACCATTGAACCCGTCTGGCAGCATGAAGACATGACATGCAACGGCAGCATCAGTGTACTGTATGTACTGCATCTGTCGCAGCGCAGATTGGGGACAGGAAACAGCCAAGTCCTGCAGCGAGACATGAGCACATTCACTTTACACAAGTGTTAATGCTTCAGAGAAGAAGACCTGAAACACACGTGCGAGTCAGTTTTGAGTTTCTCATTTGTTTTTAAGAGGTTAGCACTGATGGGAAAGTAACAAGAGCTAAGAGCTGGTGTAAAACCAGGAAAATCTATGAAACAGCACTTTGTCACCAAATCAAATGTTTTGTTACTCAGTTTAAAACAGTTTACAAGCTTTTTTTTTTATTGATAACAGCTGACTAGGTGTAGGCTACCGTTTCTGATACAGCAGTTGGGGTGTGAACACCATGGGTGTAGACTTGATAATGAAAGGCTCAGCGTGGCTACATCTCATAACAATACTGATCTGTCACCACGAAACCAGAAGAGTCAAACCAGCATCACTATCAGGGTCAGAACAGGAGAACAAATACAGTAATGTGTTGTCAATCTTTACTAGAAGTTAAACATGATCTTTTCACTTGCGCTTCCAAGAACATGCTTAATATACAACTGCAGACACACATGATTTACTTAAGTTCAAACTAAACATTTTAAATCCTGAGCTGCTTGCTCAAGTTTTTCATAATGCGTTTCCACCTGCATGGCACAGTGTGCATTGGTGGGAGAAGCACGCAAACCCTTTTCCTGAATAAATGTAGCAATGGAAGAGTGTAAGTGTTTGCTAATACAAGTGGCCTGCATTCAAAATATACAAAGAAAGAAAAAATAAAGTAGTTTAGCAAACCATACTATAAAAGCAGTCATCGTGCAGATACAGTACTTTGTTATACCATTAGCCAATAGCTATCAAACCTCAACCAAAACAAAAAAGAACACAAGACTTGACGACTTTGTGTGGAAAAAGGTGCAAATTGAGGTGGTTCAGGCATCTGATGAGAACATCTACTGGGGCCTCGACTAGATGTTTTATAAGGACCTGACTTTTATAAGGACCTGTTTTATTGAGGACCTGACTTCGACCCAGAGTACACTGGAGGGTTGATGTCCCCTCAGAACGATACAAAAGCACAAAATGCATACAAACTAGCACACAAACCGCCGTTGTCACTGGAAGTAGCACCAGCAAAAACTACAACAGGCCAAATTACCATCAAGAATAAACGTTTAACTTACCAAAATGCATAGTTGATCCTGGACCATCCCCCAAACTTGCCACAAGGCTGGACAGAAAAGGAAGACCATGCAGGCGGTTTTACTAAAGACAAGGTTTTTGTTACATAACTAAAAAACAGAACTTAGAACCAAACAAAACAGAACAAAAGCTGAGCAGCTGCCTGCCACCAGCTTATGTACCAGACCAGGTGAGCTGCATCTCCTTGATGGCTGGACCCCACCCAGCAGGCTCCTGCCCTCAACATGCATCATTTCAGTGATATAGCTGCACAAGGTGGAGTGAATTTTTACTACTCTGTATTCTCTCTATGTTTCTAGCAATATGTCAGATAAGTTCTGCTTGTATGATTTATAGAGTAATAACCATCCGAAAATGTTGAGTGAAATGAGTAGAGGCCCACAGGAGCATACACAGTACAAGTACCTCAAAAAGTAAATGTACTTTTCACTAATGCAAACATTTAATTCACTGACAACAGAATAAAGTTTCTGTTTCCATCCCCTGGATCAGTCATAAATATTTTAACTTGTAACTTGTAAGTTCTTCCTGTTGCTGATCTGTTTTCTATCTTAGATAAAATGCTTTGAACTCAGCTAACATTGTACCCTTCACTGCCAAAGAGTTGTGAAACTGTGCTACCTCAAAACAAGTGGGTGTACTCGACACTGAATAATTGCTACACCCACCCCTGACTGATAGAATTAAGATAAGGCTGTTATGTCATTTGTAGGAAATAGCAGCAGCGGTTAAATAAGACAGTTTAAGGGAATGTAGCTGTACACATTCAGTGACACTGCTAAGCGTGTCACGTGCAATTGGAAATGTGTAACTATGATGTTGTCTCAGACACTGATTAACCACTGATACCTCTAGGCAGCTGTCAAATCTAGAGTCTAATGAAACCTATTGTAAACACACTCTTATATCCTGAGCTGGTTGAACTGCAGGTTTCTTCCCTCAGTTGTTTTGTGCTCCTACAGTTACAACTCTCTCTGAAGTCTGTTTGTTTCCAGGCCAAAGTTTTTAGAAACAACATTTCTCTGGGGTTCGACCTCAGGATAATCACATACATGTATTTTTGCATTTCTACAGTAGATGAGCACAACCAATATCAAACAAATGGATTTGTTTCGGAGTCTATAAGTGAAAACAGCTGATTGTGCATTAAAGCCAAAATGATGTTATTTGCCACTGCAGACAAAAACAGGAACTTGAAGTCCTCACAGAAGGAGTTGTGTAACTGTTTGACTGGAAAAAAAGCAAAGGTGAGACGTGGGTAGGACTTACTGTGTGACTGACACTGACTGATCAGTACGGAAGTACTCGTGTACAGTGTCTAAATTCACTTTCTGTGGCACTGTGTGTGTCGATATCACTGCCTAGGAGTCCATGGATGTTTTTGCTCTAAAGATCAGGACACAGTCAAAGGTGGTGACATGAAATCATACTCACTGACACCCTGTGACTCAGATCTGACAGGAATTAACATCAGCGTCCATAATCGGTCCAGAATGTTGCGACAGCCTAACACACCTAAAGACATGCAGCCGCGTAGCTACCGTGCATGTGCTGTAAAAGACTAAAGGTGTCATTTTAAAATAATGGGCTTTATTTAGATGCTTTGCTTGTGTTGTGTTGTTCCTAAAGGTGGACCGGGTTCGTGCCCGTCTCAGACAATAACAGGCTGCCAATGTTAGAGTTTGATTCGCACATTCTGGAGGGGGGGGTTC